CATCTGTTATTCTCAGCATCCTTCTGTAGAACCACATTTCTGTTGCCTCAAGTCTCTTCATCTTTGATGACTGTCCAGCATTTATTGGAAGCCCGATATTGCATAACAGTTTTGTTGTCTTGTCTTTGTTTTGAACAAGGTTTTCATGTTTCTTAATACTTTGCTTAACTTTTGGGAGGTGTCTTTCATCATCCCAATGCACCTTCAGACTTCAGTTGTATTTTCTTTCCTCTGTTAAAACACTTCCCAGATATTTAAATTTTTTTCACTCACTTGATTCTGGCATCTCCGATTTGTAATTTGCATGATGGGCTGTCTCTTTTGCTAACAACCATTCATTCTGTGGTCTTATAATTGATGTTTAGTCTTTTTCTTTTCACTTTTCATTTTACTACTTCCTGTAGGTATTCCTATATTTTCCTTTCTGTGTTTGCTGTCAGTATTGTGTCATCTGCATATCTTATATTAAGATTGTGCCTGCCAATCTCTTGATAATATTAATGAGACAGAAGATAACTTTTATCATTCTTTTTTGTTACAGAAGAAAATTATTTTGAATTTCTGGGATGAGGAATTACCATAATTTACATTCAGTTTAATTTTCTCATTTTTGTTATCACATAATTTTGATTGTTGTGCGCACCAGCCATTATCAGCTGTCTATTGATCTGGGTAAACCTTGTAGGAATTTTGAAATGAACTCTTTAAATCTCAAAGAGTTGAGGGATTGCTGATATTAGATTGGTGACAATGAGAATATATTTTTGAAACACTATTTTTCACTTAAGACAAGGCTCAAGAACCACTGCAGGTAGTGTTGTCAATTATGAGGATGTGTAGCATAGATTATGATCTGGCAGCAATATTCCTTTTTTTACTTTTGGTCAAACTCTAACAAAGACAGAGCATGGCAGATGATGTTGGGTACTTTTTCTAAAGCAGCATAAGGAGTCGACGATTTTTAAAATTCCCTGATGGTTACACAAGTCAACAGACACCTGAAGAGGGCAGAGGTCACAGCTGCTGAGACGTTGCGATCATATAATCAAAGTTGGAGACATTTAATCTAAATTTAGATAAGAAATTACTTTATATCAGTCAATTGTATGACATGCATGGTACATGCGTAGGCAATCATGTATCTTTTGATACATGACTGACGAGGCAGATTTTTTTTCCCCCACAGTATATTGCCATTTCTTTCTGCGGTAGACCAGTTGCCATCCAAGGCTATAGAACCCGGTCTGTCCTGCTATTTACCCATAGCTGGGGGGAGAAGAGGAGGATTCATACCTCTCCCAAGGGTATTAGCACATCAATCAATGTAATGGATTTGACTGGAATTTGAACTCGGCTCTCAGATTCCTCAATCCAAGACTTTATCCATTACTCCACTGTGCCTCCTTACTTCATATACAAAAAGTTAAAGCCTGTTTGAACAGAAATCTTGCTGATAACAATGTGAAACAAAAAAAAAATTCTTAGTGGGAAGCATGTATGGTATATCACCGTTTATAGTAAATCATTCTTTTTCCTTTTTAGAATATGAGATCATTTTTGGCAGGTAGAGCCCCAGTATCAAGAGAGATTATTTACAGACCTTAATGTAAATAGAAATCAATGGTTTGTCAAAATGACAGAATTCCATTGCTGAAGATTATTTGACAGAGCTCAATATAAAAAAAAACCCCAAAAAGCTTCATCAAATCAAGGCTTTCATCTGGATGCTATCCATGGCACCAAACCCATTCAGAGATAACAAAACTGTCAGCTGTATAGAACCGCTTTCTCAGATAAATGGTTAAAAAAAAGGCTTTGAGTGAGTGAAGCCAGTGGATCTTGGCAAATACCATCTTTTTTTTTTTCAATACTTCCGGACTGGTGATACAGAATCACAAAGAATAGTACCTAATAACAGAAGCTGAATCACTTGAGGACTACCAACAGCAGTATCAACTAAAATGGATAGTATGTGTAATTGAAAGAGAAAATGATGGCATAATCAAAATGTCAACATTCTACACTATTTCCAGTAAAAGGTTAGGAAGGAAAACCCCTGGTCACTACTGGAAAGAGCAATGTCAGCTACTGACCTTGAAAACAAAATTTTCCGGAAAAATTGTTTTAAGACAAAGACCTTATACTCTCAACTGAAAGTAATACTGACTGCTCAGTCTCTGAATACACAATGTTTGGAAAAATTAAGATGGGAGGTAAAAACAGAATGTTGGAAGAAAGGACAACGATGTTAGATGTCACATTAAAAAAAAAAAAAAAATGATGCACATTAATACTTCATTTTAGTGGATATGTGTGTTGGGACAGTCATTTTTCCCCCTTTCCAAATAGTGAAATTAACATTTACTGGCTTAGACATAGAAAGTTTTATTAAAGGTTGTTATAGTCCGCTTCCTTGTACCACAGTGATAGTCCAAGGTAGAACCAATAAAGAACTCGAACACGGATATGGAATAACACAGATATATTACAAACAGGAATATATACAGAGAGGTAGGAAAGTGTTAGTACGAACAATCAGGTTTAGTAGTAATTGTCTGAACGTGACTCAGTTTCAGACTGCCTCTGACTCTACTGACTGACTTGCTCGCTCTGACTGACTGACAGACTCCTGATGGACCTCAATCCAGGCTTCAGACTGAACTCTCTGCTTCCTATTGAAGCGAAGTATTTATTACGTATGGAATAGTCCATTATATTATTATGGGTAAGGTCCCATAACAAAAGTGATATACCTCTTGGCAGGAATATTGGATTAAAATCCGTCAATTATTTAAGTTACGGCAGGTTGCTCATTTCCAAATGTGATCACCGTCTATTCTGACTAGCTAATCCCTGGTGAAGACAGCAGATCAGGCACATTTTTGTTTGTTCAGAGCCTACCTATAGTTTACACTGCAACGAGAGAACAACACATAACTTACCTATTGAGCTTGTGTCAATGGTGGAACAAGATTTAAGAGAGATATAAAAAAGACAAGCATTGCTAAGAGCACAAACGATAGGAAGTTGTGGAGAGACATGATCTCCAGTGTTCAGAATGGACATGGCACATAGAAGAGTGGACTTTCAATATAGCTTTTCGGTAAGAGCTCACAATCTGTCATAATCAACAGTTGAACAAGTACACTCAAACTCTCAGTCACAATGACTTGTGATTTTATATTAGGACAGTTTCTGTTCTGAGCAGTTCCATCTGCCTAATTTTGCTCACAAGGCTTGGGTCATCCCATAGTTTGGTTTCTTTTTCAAGCACTTTTCAACAGTGCTGAAGGCCAGTATCAAGAATTCCCCTTGACAAATCAGCTAACGTTAAGTTTTAAACATGGTCTCATGGTTGAAATATTAACCACTTAGCCATGTGCCTATAATTTTTTTAAATTAATGTATATTAAACTAACTTTCAGATGTCTGTTGGAATGTTGATAAGTCTTGAAAAGTTTTCACTCATGCCATAAAATGTCTAGGCAAGCTAATAAGTTGGATTAAAAATGGCGTTTATTTTTAAGATGCCCCCAAAGCTATAGACAGCAAATAAATTACGTATATTAAACTTGTAAAAGATGCTTCAGAGATGGAAGTACGTCTTTTTTTTTCCTTTTCAGCTTAAGATGTTTTTAGTGACTGACCATTTTACGACAATTTCTCAGGCTCAGATGTTCGCTTTTAAAAAGCTGGTCAGTTAGCTTTTGTGAAGTTTTGGGGAGAAATCATATCGTGATTCTGGGAATGCACTTACCTTTATTTTGAAGTTTTCGCTGGAGTACTACCAACCATTCCGACAAATGGAGTAGTTATTATGGAATGTAGTGTGTAAGGTTGTTGGCATAAGGAACAGTGCAGGATATGAGGCATGAACTCAAACCGCTATGAAAATTTAAATATCTGGGAAGGGTTTTAACAGGATGGAAAATGTGACAGCAAAATCTGAAGATGCCTTCCAAAGTCAAAGCAAAGCATCAAGAGGAAAAAATCATTAGAAACATCCTATATGGCTGTGAATGATGGATTTCTTCACAGATGAAGCAAGAGGGATGTAGCTCTACAGAAGGATGCTGAGAATACCATGGACAGAATATGTCAGCAATGAGGTTTCAAGCAAAATGAAAGCAAAAAAAGCATGCTTATACTTAGAATCAAAAAGGGACAATTGAAATTTCCGGGACACATAGTGAGGAAAGAAGGCTTTGAGAACTTGACACTCACAGGCTATATATAGCGACAGAGTATGGGGAGGATAGTAAAAAGGCAAACATTGCTAAAAGCTACAAAGGATAGGAAGTTGTGAAGAGCCATGATCATCTATCTAACAAACCTGTGTAAGTGGATGGAAGAACAGAGAATGGGTGGGATAGTAAAAAGTCAAACATTGCTAATAGCTATAAATGATAGGAAATTGTGGAGAGCCATCATTTCTAATGTTCTGAAATGACACTGCACCTACAAAGTGAAGAAGTCATGACCATCCTGCTATGTGGTTATGAGACGTGGACACTGATGGCAGGAAGGATAGAAAATTAGTGTCATTCAAACCAAGCGCTTGAGAAAACTGCACCTTATCTTATATAGGAAACGGAAGATAAAAAAAATACACAAGGAGTGTTAGCAAGACGCTTGTGGGTCCTAGGAACCAATTCAGTTGAATATTAAATGACAGAACAGGCTTGGTTCAGACATGTCATCAGTCACTCCACAGACCAAATCATTATACAAGTCACAGTTGTAGAAAGGTGGAAATGCAGTTGGTAATACACAAAACGGCTTGATAAAATCAAGGACTGGATCTTTGCTGGATTTTCTATCAAGGGCTGCCAAAAGAATAGCTTGAATGTCATCTGTCCTTTTGACTCCAAGTGAGATGAGGGACTGCCAATACTGAATTAGCATGTTGTCAGAAATAGGCAAAAAAAAAAATTCATCAGAAAATGGATTCTGTGCAGAAACTTTCGTATGCATCAAGTAGCACATTCACCTATCTGTAAATGTTATTTTTTTCCTCTTTCTTGCGCTCGCTTTTTATTCTCGCCCTCTCTTCTCTCTTTCTGTTGCGCTCTTTTCTCTCTCTTCCTCGCGCTCCCTCTCCCTTCCCTCTTTTCTCTCTCTTCCTCAGCCCTCTTCCTTCCTCTTTTCTCTTTTCCCTCCCTTTTCTCTCTCTTTTCCCCCTCCCTCTTTTTCTCTCTCTTTTCCCCTCCCTCTTTTTCTCTCTCTTTTCCCCCCTCCCTCTTTTCTCTCTCCCTCCCTCTTTTCTCTCTCTTTTCCCCCTCCCTCTTTTCTCTCTTTTTTCCCCTCCCTCTTTTCTCTCTCTTTTTCCCCCCCTCCTCTCTCTTTCCCCCTCCTCTTTTTCTCTCTTTTTCCCCCTCCTCTTTTCTCTCTCTTTTCCCCCCCTCCTCTTTTCTCTCTCTTTTCCCCCCTCCCTCTTTTCTCTCTCTTTCCCCCCTCCCCTTTCTCCCCCCCCCCCCCTGTCCCCCAATAAAGCCACTAAGATGCAAAAAGGTTGGTGGGAGTGAAAAGAATGGGAAAACTTTAGTGAAGAGAAAAGACAATAAAGGAACAATTTCAGGAAGAGAGATGATGGTGACCAGTCACATTATACACTGGTAATCTTTTTCAGAGGGGTTAAGTCATGCAAAAATGAATTCAGGGGTCACACTTTAGATGAAGTCAGCGTATACACAATTATATATGGTATATTATATTCCTCCAATAAATTTCGAGCATGCTAACACATGCAAAGGTCAATGAATTGACAAGGATAAATCTCCACTGCCCCAAAGCTGAGCTTTATGAAAGATAATATTGTACCTGTGGTTGGATCACAATGAAACATTAAATGCACATTTATTTGTCCAGCAGCTGCAACATGGCCATAAATGGTTGGTTAAAAATTGCTCTGAGTTGCTAATAGGAAAAATGTTATGATAATGCAGAGAACTTGTTTATTTTGTTCTACCCTATCCACCATATTCACCTGACTTTACACCAACCAATTATTACCTTTTTTTTTTTTTTTTTTTTTTTTTTTTGTTTTCTCTATTGCTCACTTGATGCAAGAACTTTCTCTAATTAAAATCAGATTCAATAGTTCATCAAAAAGTTCCTCATGTAAAAACCTGCAAAATTTCACTTAAAATAGGTATCCAGGATTTCAGTGATAAGTGTCCAAAAGTCCTTGCAAATAATGAACATATAATTGAATAAAATATAATTTTGTAAAGTTGGTAATCAAAAACAGAAATTATTTATGACTCAACCTAATAAATAAATAAAAATGGTTGTTTAAGCTTTTCTCTACATACTGTATTTTAATTGTAATTGTCATAATTATATGTATACAATATGCAAATTTTTCCAAGCTTTTAAGGATGAAATTTAGACTTGTGTATTATACAAGTACATGGTTTAATTTATTTTTCCTAGGCATATCTGTCACCAGAATTTGATTGATGTGACTGAAAGAAAGCCTAGATAACTGAAACTAATGTATTACAAAGAATTTGAATTACTTACCAGACACTGTGTTGTTTTTAAAAACAAAACATTAAAAAAAACAATTAATTCATATAAATATTAAGTACACTTTTGTCTGCTATGCTGCTGTCAGTGTCATAAATAGACCTGATAATTTCATCTTGGTTGTCAACGTAGCAGACATCTTCATTGTCCCCAGTAATCTCCTTTCTCAAAAAGGACGTCATTTACATGCTCTATGCAACCGCTACAGAAAAATAGCCACCAGCCACTTGAATGTCAGTTTGTTCATAATTTTGTTGCTTTTTGTGTGAGCTTATTATTTTCACAGCAGGTTTGTTGAATTTTTGTGTAAACAGGACCTTCCTTTTCCTTCTGCAAATTTTATGTTTCAAAACATAATGTAATTTTTTTCATTTTTGGACAAGAACAAAATAAAAAATTAAAAGAAAATGAATAAGTGTTCAATTTAGTGGCTACAAATTCTAGAGTTGGTTTGTATTAGATACAAGGTATCTTGTTTTGACCAGAATTTTGAAGCCAAAAGTTAGGGGTGAATATTATATATGAATGAGAGCATTTAAGGTTTTTTGATGAATATTACTCAAAGATTAGCATGTGTATACACCTCTCTTCAAATTCATTAAAAACAAGGATTCATCTCTAACCTTTGCTGATATTTGTTAATTATTTTACAAAGAAATCCTCCTGATTGAATTTGATTCCATCCAAGGAAGACCAGAGAATACATTGGCTGAAATCCTGTCTTCAAAATTACAGAAGACAATACAAGTTGAGAATCCTTTACCCAAAATTATTGGGACAAGAAATGCTTGATTTTTTTTTTTTTTTTCAAAATACAGGCTATTTTATTTGTATATAGCATCTATAAAATTGGGCAGATTGAGAATGGAAGCCAAGCATAAATACACTATCCCAGCTTATACATATATCCTGAAGATAGTTTTATATAAATAAAATATACCCTGAAGATAGTTTTATATAAATAAAATATACCCTGAAGATAGTTTTATATAAATAAAATATACCCTGAAGATTGTTTTATATAAATAACATATAACTTGAAGATAGTTTTATATCAAATTTGATAAATTTTGTGTACATACAGACAACAGGTAATGAAGCTAGTCAAGTAATTCTCACACAGATTTTTACATGGTGAAATTAAGATTTCATGTAAAATTAATGCTTTGTACTTTCTGTATATGTACAAAAAACATTGTTGTAACCTAGAAAAGGTTACTGGATGAGGAATAACCAAAAACAGAGGTTGGGAATGAAATGGTAATCTTTATAACATCAACAAAATACAATACTCGCCAGCGATGTGAAATAGGTAAACCACTGTCAGTGGTGAACTACTTAGACAGCATATTACCCCCCACTTACAATAGTATCCAACGTATTTATGAGAATTGGGACATACCCATTAGTGTTTACTGAGCACAAAACACCATGTAAGTAATCCATAAATGAAGGCTGTGTGACGTTTGTTATGTAGCTGGGCTGGGGAATCCCCACCCAGGACAGATGAGGTAACGTACAACAGCTGCATATTACTTAGGAAGCTTCCCAGTGCTTTCTGAAATTTTCCATTTGTGGCAAATCATATCAGCACAAATGTTGTTCCTTTTTCATTGACTGTGCCAATATCAGAGTTTTTGCTGCTGGATGGCAAACAATCCCAAACGGCTTCATGAAAGACATCTACAGAGCAAACAAGTTACGATGTTAATATATCGGCATTGACCCATTATTTCATTCTTCTTATTTAATAATTGAAAGTTAATATTGATCATTTTTCTTAACACAGTCTATAGTTCCTATTGGTAATATTATATGGGGTACTTTTTTTTTTATAATTTCCCGTTTATTTATAGTAGATGTATTATTTCCCATTTAACTATAGTAGGTATATTATTACTTTTTCCATATATAATTTGAAAATGTGCTATTTTAAATGACATCATATGATTATTAAATCACTACTTACAAAAATATATAAATGCAGGACTTTTTGACATTTTGGATATCTTTATTTAGCACACAACACCTGGTAAGTAATCCATGAACGAAGGTGTTGCTGTGACAATCACTAACAAAAAAAATGGCACAACGTAGGTTATGCAGCTGGGCTGGGAAATCCCCACCCAGGATAGATGAGGTAATGTACAACAGCTTCCCAATGCTTTCTGAAATTTTCCATTTGTGACAAATCATATCAGCACCTGAAAAATTTTGATTTTGGAATTTCGGATAAAGCATACTGAGCCTTTATCATGGAAACTAAATACTTGTTCATAACTGGTATTGAATTAATAGAAGTGATGTGGTTATTGATTTGTTCTTTAGTTGAAGCAGAAGATAAAAATCAAGTTTCCATGTAGGGAACCTTTGGCATTCAATGACCAAATGCTAAGCATTACTGTTGTTTAAATTTATGAAACTTTTCTCTTTAAAACTGTGGTGGTAAAGCAACAACTCACTTGATAATAGCAGATAGGAAACGTGAGGAGGGTAACTGAAAAAATAGTGTCACATGTCCAACCTTCTCACGAGCAAAAAAACTCAGTCCTCAGAAACAAAAACGTGCCTGCTTTATACAGCCGAGGACCGACCATAATTTGCATGCGAATGACAAGACAACAAGATTTTGCGTTAACTGTCAGAGACCACCCTGCAGAAAACATGGGTGCCGCCATTTTGGTTCTTTTTATCGTTGAACAATCAGAGTTTGCACGACGCACAGATTCGCGGGCGTTTCCGAGGTAGGCCATTTTCACAAGTTTCTTATTTTTTTTAGGAAAATAGGCTTCTTAAGTATTGATGAAACTTTCATTTCTAACTTTTTGTTTAAGGTAATGTAGAATGTCAGCATCTTGGTTATATCATATCTGCTTAAAGTGCAAACTTACTAATAGTAATATTAGTCATTTCCTTATAAGGAAACGTTTGGCATTCATAGATGAAGCAGCCAGTACTACTTTCAGTTGAAATTTATAAAGTATTTCTCTTAAAAGAATTTTTCAGAAACATAGTTTCCTCAAGTCAACTGTTAGCATTCCTTCCATTATTGACAATGGTTTCTCTTATTTTCATTATGTCATTATTCTCTCTGAGTCACATGTACTATCCATTTTACTTGCTGTTGTATGAGCAAGGGGGTTGGTGGATAAAGCCAAGTACAATCAGCTTCTAATGGTAGTCAAACTAGGTAGGCATCCTTTTTCCATATCTCTCAATGAAGAGATAAGAGATAATTAAATTATACTATGGACAAAAGAAAGCAAAATAATGATAAATGACTGAGAAATTATATTGTATGATAATGGTAATATTACCTGTTGCATTATAAGGAAACATTTGGCATTCATAGATGAAGCAGCCAGTACTACTTTCAGTTGCAATTTATAAAATATTTCTCTTAAAACAATTTCTCAGGAAATTATTTTTCTCAAGCTTTTGTCAGTCTTTCCGGGATTGTTGGGGGTTTCCTTCCTAACCTTTTGTTTGAAGTTGTGTGGAATTTCAACATCTTGATTATGTCATTAGTTACATGTGCTATCCATTTTATCGGTGCTGCTGTTAAGTGTTTAATTGTTATGGCTTTTGTTATTTGGTAAAGTTCTTTGTGATTCTATAGTGTGAATCTGTAAGATCTTATGAAGTATTCTCTTCCTTAAGAAGATATTAATAAAGATTAAAATATTAAGTTAAAATACTCATACAAACATCAGTTGAAAGCTATAAATTCAGTCACCCCCACCAGTCATCTTGATAATCATTGACAGAGAAAAATTTCCTGCACAGACAGTGACAATGAAATTGTTGCTATATCCACTAGCAGTCTTGACAAACATCAGCCTCATGCTCAGGATGAACTAGAACTAATCATCTGTACTTTACATATTTTCTCTCCAAACTTTTGAACACTTTGAAATACAAGATCCTTTCCCAAACTCAATTTATGTAAAATTTATTTATTTTTTCTTTTTGCAAATGTGTTCCAAATGTTTTG